TCTCTTCCTAACCGGTGTGCCGCTGCTCTCCTTTCCCTCTCCAGCCTCACACTCTCTCTTTTCCGCTGAAACCCAGTCCTCGACTTCTTTCCTGCATTCTCTCCCTCTCTGTCATTCTTTCCCTTTTCATTCTCATTCTCTCTCGTCCGACACTCTCCTCTTCTTCGTTTTCTCTTTCCCTCGATCTCTCTCATTCCTTCCCCACCCCCCCTCTCTCTCTGACTATTTCTATCCACCTCGAGACTCGAACGCATAATGGAAAATAATAAAATAGAAAGAAATTGATCAAATAAATACAGACATCGACACAGCCAAATCTTTGTTCTAAAACGTCCTCCTCGGCCCGTGTTTTCCATTTTCGCGCACGTCCCATTTGTCCATCGATCGAACCGATCTCATTGTTACTTCCTACCGTTGTGGAAAGCAATTTGGACTATGATAGAAAACGAATGGTCGTGGGGGCAAAATTCAAACAGTAGCTTAAGACTTTTATTAGTTTTTGTAGATTCTGATCGTCTTTGATAAAGGTACTTTCAATAATTGTTACAGAATCAAACTGACACCTAGCTGGCGTAAAAAATGTATCACAAAAAATCTGTTCTTTTATCTGAATTAAAAACATCGATAAAAAAGGTTTTCTTTCGATCAAAGCGTTAAACGATTCTCTCAAGTTTTCTCGCGGCGAGACGTTGAATTTTCTATTCGTCATTTTCACGAGCCTGTAGCTTACATAATTCGACTAAATCGCCGTCCACGCCTTCATTCTCCCCGTCGAACCTGACTGAACACTTGGTGGATAAAATTTGCTCTGTGCGTGTACCGGACGAGTCCCGTTGCGCGCCATTGTTTCCGAAAATTGGCAACTCGGTATGCGCCATCTTGTTGGCCGCCTGATTGCCGCCATTTTGTTGGTGACTAACTTTTTCCCAGCTCCTCGTTGCCATCCAACTTTGTTGAGATGTGTCGGTCGATTTCGAACGCGACACGACAGAGGAATTGACTTTACGAGAATATGCAGGGGATTCCCAACGGCGCGACGACGCTTTCATTTTCGAAAGCGTCCCGGAACGCTTCGCGAATGCGTGGAGCTCCGCGGTTCATCCGGTTCGCCGCACAGAACCGTAACTTGTTGCCCGTTGGCTGACTAAAGCTGCGTGTACACTAGGAACAAATTTTCGTGGAATATTTAGCGCGGATTGTCGGTAGTGTTAGATCTGTCCCCTCTCGTGAGATTCAGACTTGAGAAATCATATATGCAGTTAATAATCGTTCGTGATCTAGAAGATATGGTTAGTTCTATTCGCAGCTGCAGAAAAGCGGTTTGTTTCACCGAGCTACAATCACGTCCATAAGCCATTGGAAGCTTATAGATGAATTAGTGTGGAATTAGTATAACACACTTAAAATTAAGAGATAAAGCGAGTTCTTGTTAATTCATCGTGTCGCGGAGAAAATATAATCCAGATTGCGTGTTGCAAACAATCATAAATATTCTTTTTATTTCTCTCTTCGCTTCGCTTGGAAATGATCATTCGAATTGATAATAATAATAATAATAATAATATTAATAATAATAATAATAATAATAATAATAATAATAATAATAATAATAATAATAATAATAGTAGTAGTAATAATATTAAAATAATAATAGTAATAATATTAAAATAATAATAAAACAATAATAAAATAATAATAATAATAATACGACATTATTGCTAAACGTAACTACTAGAATTAAGGGTATTTATTACTAGAATTAATCATGGCTGTCCGACGGTGAATCGTTTAAATAGTTTTCGACTAATTGCACTCAGCGCGTTCTCGTCGTTAAACTTTCGCTTCTGTTCTCTCGACGCGTACCTCTACAGTCGATTAATCAAATTATTGCGTAAACTTCGCAGCTGATTATCACGTTCTAGCCTTTTGCGAAATACTTTCTGAAACGTGTTTTGGTGTACATCGAATAAAAAAAAAGAAGAAAGGAAAAAGAAAAAAGAAAGAAAAGAGGAAGAAGACGCTTACTTACGTAATTCGCGTAAAAACAAAGCCAAAGCGGCGATCAGCCGCTTCGTTTAAGAATATTACAATAATCTTCGTTTCCTATCTTATTTACAACGTTCAGAATTCTATCACAATTGCATCGTTTTCTTACTTTTTCTTCTTTCTCTAAGAATAAAATGTCCGAGCGCGTCCAGCGACTCGCGGACGGTCGACGACGGCGCGCGGCCTTTGAATCGCCATCTTGTCAGCGCTCCCCATCCGCCATCTTGTGGTCCGCAGAATCGGAGAAGCTTCACCGTTATCTAACGCGTATCTCACGCGTGCTTAGTGTACACGCAGCTTTTGGAAAAAAAGGAAAAAAAAGAAAACAGAAAACGGACAACGGACAACGCACAGCGATCCGTTTTCACCGATACCTCCCAATCTCGATTTTTCTGTCGCAAACAAGGACGCCGCTCTTCGTTCTTGGTAAATATCGACGCGTGTGCGCGCGTGTATACACGTGTAACGATATCTCCTGTAGTATCACGTGTACGTGTGTTGCTTGTACGAATATACAGTCCCGTGACTCAGGAGAGGAAAAATAATCGCACAATCCTCTCCCCGTTTACCCCCAAACTCATCCCTTTTGTTCCCCATCCCACTTTCCGCGCTACTCTCTCAATTCTTCTCTTGTTCTTGCTCTCTCTTTTTGTATAATTCGAGCGACGGGTCAAACGAATCTCGATTACATGGCATCACACGTGTGCTATTGAAATCATCTCGGCACGAGATTGCAAAAGAACGAAAAAAGAGAAAAGAAAGAGAAAAGAAAAAGAAAAGAAAGAAACGGTTGCGTGCCTCCTCGTTCAGTCCGTAGATTCACATGTACATGCGATAGTATAATAAAAATAAAAATAAAAATAATAATGATAATAATAATAATTATTGTAACTTTATATATATATAATATTTTGTTTATATATATATATTTGTTTATATATATATAATTTCTATTTACACAAGGTAGCCAATGAATTATTACACTGCTAGTTTCAAATGGCTCGTTTTTTCTTCTTTTTTTTTGGATCCCCGTTCATAACGTGTCGAGCTCATAGAAAAAACATCACATAGATACGCCAGAGACCAACAAATGTCCTAAAAATGTCGATTCGTGGGTCCTGGACCTCATTCCTCCATTTCCTGCCCGTGTCCCGCGAGCTAAATCAATTGGCGATTAATAATTACATGCTCGCGGCGACGCCTAAACGATTTTACCTAGAACAAACGTTTCGTTCCGTCGATACTCGAGTGTATTGTGTGTATGTGTGTGTGTGTGTGTATGTGTGTGCGACACTTTCAACTTTATCTCGATCCTCCGAGTCTTACCCGCAATATTCGATTTTTCTCGCATTCATTCCCATTCACTCTCCGTTCTCGTTAAGATCGATCTATTACACGCTCCTCTTCCGAGGAAAATTGGCAGCCCATAAAAAAAGAACAGAAAGAAAGAAGAGAAATGAAGAATCGCTCTCGTTCGCGCACACATTCTACTTTTCTCTCCCTTTCGCTCGCTTGCTTATTTTACAGCGACGATACGTCGATAATAAGAAAGTACTATAAGTGGTAGTAGCAGTGGTAGTAGTAGTAGTAGTAGTAGTAGTAGTAGTAGTAGTAGTAGTAGTAGTAG